GGGTTGGGCACCTGCGGCTGCGCGGAGGGCGCGGTGTGCGGCAGCGACGGGCGCACCTACCCCAGCCTGTGCGCGCTCCGGGCGGAGAACCGCGCCGCGCGCCTGCGGGGAGCGCTCCCGGCTGTGCCGGTGCAGAAGGGAGGCTGCGGGGACGCAGGTGAGCCGGGCGCAGCTGACGATGGCTCTCAATGGCGCGGTCAGCCCTCCACGAGCTGCAGGGGCCGGAGCTTTTGTTTCTAGTGTTCTTGCCGCATGAATATGTACTATAGATTGAGTATATATGAGTATTTATGTATTTTACCGGCTGCCACACATTTTCTTTTTCCCTCTGACGGTCCGGGTCCTTCGAGATAGGGCCACGCTGGGGTCCGCAGTCAACCTGTCCCAGGAAGGACAAGGAGGGAGGGAGAGAGGGGAGAGGGCGGGAATTTGAGATCTGGCACCTCCATGCCAGGGAACGAAGCGCCCCTGGCCCCCAGGAGGGAACGTCTCTTCGCAGGAACCAGAAGCGTAGGGCGGCTCCGAGGCAAGTACAACTTCATCGCCGAGGTGGTGGAGAAGGTGGCGCCCTCAGTGGTTCACCTGCAGCTCTTCCGTAGGTAATGGTCCTGCCTCCAGGCCAACTGCCCCACGTGGGGCAGCTCCAGCTCCTCTAGGGGAGTCATCGGATCTTGGAAACACGGGGAGGAAACAGGCTCACAGAGGTTGCTGGGGTGCAGCTCATCGGCGCAGCTTGTCGAGCAAGCGGGAGACCCCAAGTTTCATCCCCAGCTCCCGCGGGGAGTGAGGGGGGCGGTCTCTGTGAATGGCTGTAGACTAAGGAATCTATTAAAGGTTGTTCACTGGAGAGCCAAGAGCAGACGGAAAGATTCGGGATCCACATTCAAGCTGCACCTCTGCGGTTGGGCGCCTGGTGTTTCTCCCTCACATCCACCGGGAGAACCTAAGGTTGTAGGAGCTTATTCAACATTTCCATGGTGGTCTTGTCCATCCCCCAGCTCATCCCTTGGATGCAAGGAGACTCAGATAGAGAGCTGGGTTCATTTGTCCCATGCCGCGAGGCCCGTTGGTCATGGAACCCCAACTGCGTGAGTCCCTGACACTGTGACCTGAGCGTTAGTCTACAGTGTTAGCACAGGGCGGGGCTTCTTTGCAGCCCAGCCCACAGCTTGCAGAGAGCAGGGTTTCTGGAAAAGGGGAGCTGGATCCCGCTCACTCCTGTTTACAAAAGATGGCTGGGCCATGCAACACCTGGTTCGTTTACACATGGAAACGATGCAGATACAGACAGGGAAAAGGACACCGCTTGAGAAAATTGGTGGAGATATGGTAGATGGAGCCAGGCTCCCCTGACCCACTGCCGGTGGCTGGACCCTGATGTTCTTGTTTTTTTTCTGTTTGGGGACAGATCACCTCTCAGCAACAAGGAAATCCCTGCCTCCAGTGGCTCTGGGTTCATAGTGTCTGAGGATGGGCTCATCGTCACCAATGCCCACGTCCTCACCAACCAGCAGCGCATCCAGGTGGAACTCCAGAGTGGGGCCCGGTATGAAGCCACTGTCAAGGACATCGACCATAAACTGGATCTTGCACTGATTAAAATTGAGCCAGACGTGAGTAGTGGAGAGCTGAATCAGACTTTCTGGGTATTTCAGTCTGCTGATACTTTCTTCCACACTTCTCTGCATCTACTATTCCAGTTTTTGTTTGTTTTTGTTTTGTTTTCCCTCTAGCTTTTCTCTGTGTCTCTAATTGTGTCCCAGGCTTCTTAAGACGAAAGCGATTAGTGATATGAGGATTAAAATCAAGAGCATCACTGATCTCTAGCGTCCCTCCAACCCCCCACTTTCCTGCCCCCACCTTTCCTTTTTGCAATCCATCCTTATCAAATAAAGAACTTAATCTCCCAAACTGCCTGGTGGTTGAGGCCCCAGGTTCTCTTCACCTGCCCTCTGCTCCTCGTTCCTGGTCAGAGCAGGGCCTCAGTTTGAATGCATGGAAGTCCAGAGCTGCCATAGGGGAAGACGGAAAGGCTTCACTCACCCTGAGGAAAAGGGACCCATGGGCAGAGCAGGTGGGGCTCCGTGGCCTGGGTTACTAAACTGGGACCCCGATGACAGAGGAAAGGACACTCTCCCACAAAGGATCCTGCAGCCACATCCTCCATTTGGGAATGGTCAGTGCTTGAACGTTTGCCTTCACCTCTGAGTTGCAGAACTCCACCACACCTCCTCCTCCTTTAGCCCAAGCTGCTGTGGGGGAGGCTGATTGGGGAGGCTGATTGGCTACAGGGTGGGCTGTGGGCACTGCTGGGGCAGACTCCCGGCTTCCTCTCTCAGGGTTCTCCACAGTCATCACTTGACTGCCTTGACCGTCTCCTGAAAGTTCTGGTGGTTGTCAGCTTCCTCCACTTCTGCAGTAGGACAGCAGCTTACACATGCTTGTGAATCTTGGCAAGAGAGCCTCAGAGCTGCCGGTGGTCTGCCTGCGCCCATTTCCAAAGAGAAGGCCCAGCGTTAGCCCCACGTGGCTTGCTGGCTCCACAGGGGCTCTCCTTCGCCTGCAGCTTGGTCCAGTTCTTCAGGCTTTCATGTCCTGGGTCTCTTTGGGGTTTGGTTCCACCTTCTCCTTCACCACACCTGGGTGGCAGCCCAGGGGAGACTTCCTCGAGCTGTTCTCCACTCTAACTTATGTCTGGCTTTGGGGCTGCAATGTCTGCAGACCAACTTGGGGCACTAAGCCCACTCTAAGGTCTGCAGTATGCTGTTCCTCCACAGAATTCATACAGTAGCATGGGACGTTCCCTCACACCTTCCAGCCTGACCCAATCCCAGGCCTGATTCCAGGTCTACCTGGAAGATCTTGGAAACTTAGCCAAGTCTGAGGGTCCATGCAGCCTGGCCTAGCCCCCCTGAGCCATCACCTCTACCAGCGAGTGAGGAGAGAATTCCAGTCCCAAGCCTGTTTCTGGCCATGAGGGAAGGCTTGGACACTAAGCCAGCAGTCTCATGGAAGGAGGGCTCGCCAGGGGGCTTCGCTCCCTCTTTTTATGTGTTTTCTTCTGTCTTCTGTACATCCCTGGCAATCTCTGTTAAATGTCTAGCAGCCCTTTCCCCTCCTGTGATTTGTTCTTCAGCACCGGCTGCTTCTGAAGAAATCACTTGTGAGGAGCCCAAGGCTGCTAAGAACATTTGAAGAGATGTGGTGTGCAACTGAGACCTCTTTAGAAATCCCTGATCTCAGATGCTGTCCAGCCCTACCGAGTCAGAATCTGCATTTTGATAAGACCCCCCAGGGCCATGTGCACAGTACAGTTTGAGAAATGCTGTTCCAGGTGATCTCTGTCCTGCCTGTGACCGAGGCACACTGATCAGAAGCACTTGAGCTGGAAGTGCTAAATGGATTGCTAATGTCAGTCATTTCACTGGTGACTTATTAATAGTAATTTCTATAAAACAAGTTTTTGATCTTAGAGATTATATCAGTCTTCTTACTGAAGAGAGAGGTTGGTTTGGTGGTTCGTAGACTTTGAGGAAGAACAAGGCAAAGACCTGTGTGGGAGGCTGCTGAGGTGGGCACCGTCCACTGCCAACAGATACTGTGTGACATTCTTGTTTTGCTGTCTCTCCTTCCTTTGTACGTCATCGCCTTGCACCCATGTGCAGACTGACCTCCCTGTATTACTGCTGGGAAGGTCATCTGATCTTCGGGCTGGAGAGTTTGTGGTGGCTTTGGGCAGCCCATTTTCCCTGCAGAACACAGTGACTGCAGGGATTGTCAGCACCACACAACGAGGAGGCAAAGAGCTGGGGCTGAAGGATTCAGACATGGACTATATCCAGACCGATGCCATCATTAATGTAAGTAACTCGGAAAGTCTGTCCTCAGCCCAGAAGATACTGGCAGGTTTTAGCGAGAAGAAAACTTTAGAGTGGTCTCTTTTCCCCTTTGGTCTTTTGAATATGCCCGGGGTCAGTTAGACCCTAAGAGAAGGCTTCAGTGCCATGGTGTCAGAATCAAGTGTGCTTGATGTGATAACCGGCATCTATGCTTGGGACTCATTACATAGGTCACCAGCCAGCACTGCACCTTTGTGGGGCCCCTTTGCTTTGCCTTTTACCCACACTGCCTTGTTGTGGGGATGGTGGGTGGCATGATTTTGCCTGCTTGGGGAGCAGCAGCGCTCTAGAGCAGGCTGCTCTGTTACCTGATTGGGAACTACGTGTAACTGAGTGGAGATGTGCCCCTCAACTAACCGACGGCCTTCTCAACTTCTCTCTAGCATGGGAACTCTGGTGGACCTCTGGTGAACCTGGTGAGTGGCCGTTTTCCTTGCTGCTTCCTATTTCTTCCTAACTTTAAACACTTTCCAAATTCAGTGATGCAGACTGGGTTCCACTCTTGTGGAGAGACTGAGGAATCATGTTTTATCATGTCTTAAGTAAACAGAAAAAATTAGAACTGTGATGGATTTATCCTGCCAGTGTGTGATCTCATCCCACCAAGAGCTCCAGGGGCCCTGGCTGTGGTCTCTTTTCAAGTTTTCCTCTTCTACATATTTTCTGTTGCCATGGGACAGTTCCCAAAAGCCCTGGATATTAAACTCAGACCTATGCCAACAGACCAACTGTGCTATGTGGTATATATCCTTGAAGACCCCTTGCCTGTTACATAATGTGAGCTCTCTGGGGTTTTTAGTCTTCACCTGCCTATACATGAGAGAAGAGCCACAACCAGAATGCATTTTCTACCGTGCATGTTATTCTTAGGTTTTATTTAGTGCCTCTAGAGGCTACACCAAGGTTTCTACCTGCTCATCCACATATGGAAACTTGAGTGCAGTGCTAGACTCAGGCTTCCAAAGTCCTTGGAGCTTTTGCTTCATCTTTAAACATTACATTCTCTCTCTCTTCCTTTTCATTCTTGATAGTCCTGGGATGGAGCTCAGGGCCTTGCACATGCCAGGCAGACTCTGTTGTTCAGTTGCAGCCAACAGAGTGCTTTCTACTCATAACATTGTATATAATTAAAAAAAATTATTTTTATTTTTCATGTGTATGAGTGTTTTGCCTGCGTGTAGGTGAGTGTGCCACATGCATGTAGTGCCTGAGGAGGCCAAAAGAGGGTGTCAGATACCCTGGAACTGGAGTTGCAGTTGTTAGCAGCCATGGTGGTGCTGGGAACTGAACCTGAGTCCTCTGCAAGAGCAGCCAGTGCTCTTAGCTGCTGAGCCACTTCTCTAACCCTCTGTAACTTTTTGTGCCTGTCTCCTCAATGATACACTGAGTTCCTAGAGCAGGCATGAAGCACAGCACTTCAGGCCACACTCCAGAACTACTAAACTACTGCCTGTGCATCTGTGTATGACCAGAAGTATGTTCCCACTGCCTCACATGGCTAGGGAATGAAGGACGTGAGCAGGAGAGCGTTTTCTCCTTCACAGCTTCAGCTCAGCTGACTGTGGCTCTCCCCATGGTCCACTGATTGCTGACAGAGCGTTCCACTGAAGGGCTGTTACCCAACAATCCAACAGCTTTTGTCTTTTCCATGTTTTTTTTTTAGTTTCATTTTTAAAGAGACACAATTCAACTCAAAGCAATACATTACCAGTAAATATCTTTAAAATTTTTTTAAATTTTATTTTGTGTGTATCAGTGTATTGCCTACATGTATGCAAGTGCACTGGTGTCGTGCAATGCCCAAGGAAGTCCATAGAGGGCGTCAGATTCCTATGAAACTGGAGTTGCTATTGGTTGTTAGTCACCATGGGGGCGCTGGGAATCAAACCCAGGTTCTTTGTAAGAGCCAGACTTTTGTGGGGGTTCTGGGTTTTTTTTAAAACAGGGTCTCATGTAGCCCAGGTTGGTCTAGAATTCAACATGTAGCTGAGGATGACCTGGAACTCCTGATCTTCCTGCCTCCACCTCTTAAGTGCTGGGATTGCAGGTGTGTGACACCATGCCTAGTATCTTGTTATCTCTATCAAAATGTAAATTATGGATCACTTAAAAAATTAATGTTTACTAAAAGTGAGCTAGATATTAAAAATATTCCATACTTGGCTTTTTTTTCTTTTTCTTTCTCTCTTTTCCTTCCTTTTTCTTTTTTTTTTTTTTTTTGAGACAGGGTCTCACTATATAGCCCTGACTGGCCGTAAACTCACAGAAATCTGCCTGTCTGTGCCTCCTGAGCACTGGGATTCAAGGACTGTGCCACCATGCTTGGCAAGCCTTGACTCTTTGAACCTGAAAAAAGCCTAACTTTTGTATCTGTAAAGCTCCCTTTTCCTCTGTGGTCACACTAATTGCCCTGTAAGGTGACGTGTTTTTCTCTAATGAGGTACAGATTTCCTCTCACCCCCGTTTCCACCCTAAGTCACTATGTCACTTTTCCTCAGCTTGCTCTGATGCCGCACAGTTCAGTTTGCAAAGTTGCATGACTCAATGATGTCCGTTTCCTCTCCTACCAGGATGGCGATGTGATTGGCATAAACACACTGAAGGTGACTGCTGGGATCTCCCTTGCGATTCCCTCAGATCGGATCAGACAGTTCTTGGCAGAATACCATGAGCGACAATTGAAAGGTGACGGGAATTGGGAGCTCTTTGTTCTGTTTCTCAAGGGCACCTCCATCTTTTGGAACTTGACTTCTTTATGGTGTTCAGGCACTGGTTCTCAGAGCTGTGACAGGGGTCTAGTGACCATATTGGGGGTCTAGGCACAAAACTAAGCATGAGATATACCTGTATGTTCTTGGGATGAACAGCGTAGAAGAGAGCCTGCCCGCTGCAGTCTGTGTTGACCACCGACATTCTCTCTGTAGCACACTGATGTTCGGGTGCAGGGCCAGATTCAATGATGAGATCTGGGACTTAGGTATCTTTTAAGCGAAAAGGAAGTGTTATTGTGAGTCATAGATTGATCTTCCTTTCCAGGAAAGGCACCTTCCCAGAAGAAATATCTGGGCCTGCGAATGCTACCCCTCACTCTAAAGTAAGCATGGGGCTGCTCTGTCTGGGTTGGTCCTTAGAGGCACAAGGCTATTGCTGGGCAGTCTTACCAGGAAAGCTAAAGCCTTTGGACGGCAGCAAGAACTTTGTGGTCACAGGCTGTTTGTTGTGGGGCTGTGTCTCTGCCTGCACTCGTAACTTTCACCCTGACTGGGCTGTACCATGTCCAGATGCAAAGCATTGCTTAGAGGGACAGTGCACAGCCTAGCAAGCTTATGACTGGTTGCGTGGGATTTGCAATTTGGGATTTGTACTTGCCAGCATCCAGCTGAATAGATGGGGAGGAGATAGGCCAGCCTGTGCCCAGGGCTCAAGGGATCACTGTGTTTGCTAACTTTCTTAATGCTCCCAGCCTTCTCCAAGAAATGAAGAGGCAAGATCCAGATTTCCCTGATGTGAGTTCTGGGGTTTTTGTATATGAAGTGATTGAAGGAACAGCTGCTGAAAAGTAAGTGATGGACACACCTCTGCCCAGCCTTCTGAGTTGCTTCTAGGTGTGTACTGTGCTCTCTGCTAGGAGCAATTAGACTTGCTCCTCCAGGATCATGATCGTGACTGTGACTTACACACACTTTACATTGAGCTCCTGAAAGCTGGCCAGTGTGACTCAGCTCAACTTAAAATTTAAATAGATTTAAATGAAAAAAGAAACCAAAAGTGGTGTGATGTTTTTTGAGTGGATTTCCAAGGCTTATAGAAAAATATAAGATATTCAGCAAATAATTTTAAAATATTTTAATTAAGATGATTAAAGTTATGTTACCTGCTTAATTTTTGTTTTAATAATTTTTGTAGTACTCTGCTTGCATTGTATGGACCATGTCATGTAGTACCTGTGGAGCCAAAGAGGGCATCAAATCCTCTGGAACTAGAGATAAGGACAGCTGTCAGCCATGATGTGGGCACTGGGAATTGAACCCAGGTCTTCTACAATAGTAGCCAGTGCTCTTAACTGCCGAGCAATCTCTCCAGCTGTTTATTTTGTCTTGTTGAAACAGGGTCTCCCTGTAGCCTCAGCTGGCCTGCAACTTGCTATGTAGAACAGGCTGGCATTGATCTCAGTGACACCCCCAACCCCTGCCTCTGCCTCCTGAGTGCTGGGATTAAAGTGTGCACCACTGTGCCTGGCTTTTTTTTTTTTTTTT